CATTGTGTGGTGATTTCATTTAGAATCTGCTAGTAAATTAGGTTTCCATGCTATGCCTCAAATGACTGTTGATTTTAGCTGTCCCTTCCTCTATTTCCTTACTCAATTCACTTTTCCCTCCCCCTCACAATTTGATCCTCCCATTTCAGTTCTTCTCCACTCATCTATCCATAGCTCTCTATTCTATTTCCCCTCCCCATGAAAATTCACTCCTCCCTATGAGTCCTTTATTCTGTACCTAACATCAGTGCTTATATTAATTGTAGCTTTTTTATCAATAACTTAGGAGCTAACATCCTCATATAAATGAATATAATCATATTTCTGTGAGTCTAGGTTAACTCACTCAGGATTATTTTTTCTACTTCCATCAATTTACTGACAAATTTCATGATTTCATTTTTTAATGGCCACATAATATCCCATTGTATAAATCACCACATTTTCTTTATACATTCATCTGTTGAGGGAAATTGGTTGTTTCTAATTTCTGGCTATTATGAAAAGAGCAGCAATTAACATGGAAAAGCAACTGTTTCAGTAGTAGGATGAAGAACCATTTGGGTATATTCTCAAGAGTGGTATACCTGGATATTAAAGCAGATTAATTGCTAGCTTCCTGAGGAACTACCATACTGATTTCAACAGTGGCTGCACAATTTTTCCTACCAAGAATAGATCAGTGTTCTCTTACTTTACATACTTGCAACCATCATTTATTTTATTGATCTCCGCAATTCTGACTGGTATAAGATGAAAGGTCAAAGTAGTTTTGGTTTGTATTTCTTTAAGTGTATTTCAGCCAAATGAGTTCCTGTTGTGAAAATTGTCTGCTTAGATATTACCCCATATTTTAATTGGCTTATATATTTTCATGATGTCCATTTTTGAAAATATTGTCCCTCTATTAGATTTGTAGTTGTTACAAATATCTTTCCATTTTGTGGTCTGCAACTTTGCCAAGATGATGGTGTCCTTTGCAATACACCGTTTCAGTTTATGGGGTCCCATTTGTTAATTTTTTGTTCCTAACAAAACAAGTTTTAATTAATGCTTGAGCTGTCGGCATTTAGTTCAGAGAGTCTTTTCCTGTGTCATTGAATTCAATTATCTGCACTTTTTTTTCTATCAGACTCAGTGTATCTGGTTTTATGTTGAAGTCCTTGGTGGCTGCAGAAAACATAATTCCCAGTCTGCAAGAGGTCACTATATAAACAATACTACTCAACAATATGTTGGGTGGCTCACTGTGAGGATGAGGCAGATATGACAAAGATGGAAATAGCCCTGAGGCTTTCTGTTCACTACCTCACATCAAGAGGACAAGCCCCAGGTGGAGCTCTGGGAGTCCAATTAACGAGAGAGAATTGTTGACACCAATGTTGGATAAAGCACAAGGACAAATAACCAAACGAATGGAAACACAGGAATCATGAACCAATGGCTGAGGGGCCCCCAACTGGATCAGGCCCTCTGAATAGGTGTGTTGATGTATCCAACAGTCTTATTAAATAAGAAACACAGAAACAATGTAAAAGAGAAAGCCGAGAGGTCAGAGCTCAGAGCTAAAATCTCACCCTTCCTTCTGCTGTCCCAGCTTCCGGAAAGAGAGCTATATCCTGTCTGTACGTCTTTTTTATAGTATTATTGTTTGCCTTCTCATTATTTGTAAACCCAAACACGTGACTGCCTCGTCACTGTCTGAATGTACAGCCCCCTAGGTCTTAAAGGCACATGTCTCCAATGCTGGCTGTATCCCTGAACACACAGAGATCTATGGGATTAAAGGCGTGTGCCACCACCGCCACACTCTGTCTATGGCTCTAATAGCTCTGACTCCCGGGCAACTTTATTTATTAACATACAATCAAAATCACATTTCAGTACAATTAGAATACCACCATATAGGTGAGGCAGTTGATTGGCTTGTTCTGTTTGGGAGGCATCCAGGCAGTGGGACCGGGTCCTGTGCTCAGTGCATGAGTTGGCTGTTTGAAACCTGGGGCTTATGCAGGGACGCTTGGCTCAGCCTGGGAGGAGGGGACTGGACCTGCCTGGACTGAGTCTACCAGGTTGATCTCAATCCTTGGGAGAGGCTTTGCCCTGGAGGAGGTGGGAATTGGGGGTGGGCTGGAGGGAAGGGGAGGGGGGCGGGAGGGGGGAGAACAAGGGAATCTGTGGCTGATATGTAGAACTAAATTATATTGTAAAATAAAATTAAATTAAAATTAAAAAAAAGAGGACAAGTTTCAGTTTTGGTGAGAGAGACTGTGCCAAGAGGATGAGGTACAGTGTGATAGAGAATGGCATCCAGCAATGTCCTGTTAAAGAAATGTTGTGTACTTTTTCACCACTGACTATTTGAGTTAGATGAGAATAACTGATCTAAAAGAAAATTTTCCAGTGGTAGAGTGGGAGAAGCTGAAAGGGTACCAAATGTCAAGACACTGAGCCTATGGGTTTTTACAAGTTTCCCTGGGGTCTAATAAGTTGGTATCGATATGCAAAATAGCTGAACCTTAAAAGTCAATTAGGGAGAACCCACCGAACATGAGAGAAAGTCTGCCTAACCAAGAGGGGTTATTGACTATGACTGAGGCTCCCTCTCCATTTTCAGTCTTCGTTGATGTTTCAACTGGTGAGACAACTGAAAGCTTCAAAGTGATGTAGAACTCTTTACACCCATCAACTTTTCCTGATCTGTTACTGGTCCATGTCTCCAGTCACAGCCAGAGTTCTTCCTTTCTCTGTTACCCCTCTACCTACCATGTAGGTATGCAATTCTGCATGTGCCCATATATATACACCAAAATTAAAATCTAATAAGAATATACTTACTAGAAGCTCAGCAAGGACATTTTTAATCAGTGTGGCAATATGATAGACCTATTACATAATCACTATTTGACAAATAAACACTAGAAAATATGAATGAAACTACATATTCCAAACATGTTGCTTAATATATTTCATGTTAATTTTTTGTCAGTGAAATGGAAGATTTCCTTGTGTTTTAAATGAATCACAGGGAGCAACAACAAAAATGTGTTTCATGCTTTGTAGGAATCATTGTTTTCTTTATGTGTGTTTAATGTTAATTGTACAAAAGATGAACTATGACTAATAAGCATTTATCATACAAGCCAAATTGAATGACTATTGAAACAGAAAGTACAAAATTCTTATAATCCCCATTTACTGACTTAGGATTTTAAAGAAAACCTGAAAAATAACAGAGAGGATAGAACAAATAAAAGCAAAGTGCTTGTCAAGACACATCTTTACTTTTAATTTGAGATGACTGTCTAGGAATTCCTTAAATAAGCCCAAGAACACAATTTAAGAAGTCTTAGTGGTTTATACAGCTTTCCAATTTCTCCAACATGCATCAAATATATTTTCTTATCTATTCCATATGGTTGAACAATTGTCTGTTTTCAAAATGGTAAAATAATTTTGTCATTTTGAGGATGTTTTTAAGGGCATTTTGTTTGTTACTCTAACCAAATAAAATGGACATTAGAGCACTTTCTTCTTGTATATTTTGTTTTGACTTTGTTTATTTCTCTCTCTTTCTCTGCCTCCCTCTCTTCTTCCTTCCTTCCTTCCTTCCTTCCTTCCTTCCTTCCTTCCTTCCTTCCTTCCTTCCTTCCTTCCTC